CCTCGCCCCCTCCCCTCCCTCCTCTCTCTCTCTCTCCTCCTTCCCCCTCCCCTCTCTTTTTTATTTGGACTCGGAATACGCCCATGGAATACGTAACGCCCGTGTGATATATGCGCGGATAACGCATCTGGATCGTCCAGAAACAACGCGAACAACAATCGAAAGTCACCACCCAATGGTCGGCCATTAGCATATCAAACCTCTCGTTACAGCTGGACCCCCACATTCGAGCCTGTCAGAGAGACAGACAGGTAATAATGGAACGATGGAAAAAATTGGTTAAAAGCTGTTTCTTAGGGCTGGTTGGTGGATAGTTTTTGGGAATTATGGGGTGGTGGGGCGTTGATTTGCGAAACTGGAAATGCGGTTTCGACGGTGTTGTGAGCGGGTTGCAAGGTGAGGATTGATTTAAGTGGGGAGGTTAGGTGGTGAGATAGGGATCGAAAATGGAGGTTTGAAGATTTATGGTCACCTTGTTAGGATACTCGTTGGAGCTTCTAGGTTATTACCTCAAGGCGAGATTTTGGTATTGCAGTTTCGATTCTTCGGGTGATAAAATCTTGGATTATTGGTCGTTTAACTTGAAATCTCATTTTGAGGATGTTCTACAGAGTTGTTGGCTATTTCGCGAAATTTACTACTTTCTTTGAAATTTTTACTTTTACGCTGGAATATTGCATGATTGATGTTTACTTAATAGTATATACCGTTGTTAAATAATGGATAATAAAATAGATATATTGTGAGGAATAAATAGAAATTTTGTTTTAAAAAATTAATTATATCCAAATTTATTAACGAACGATAAAATTTTTATTATATAAGCTTTTTGATTTCTCTTTTCTCTTTTTTCTTTTTTTCTTTTTTTTTTTTTTTTTTGCCTTTTTCGTTTGACGAATGAAAAATTTGTCAAAAAGTAAAAATTATAAACGCAAAATAAGTTGCGATCATGGGGATATTTTTAAAAAGATTTACTTGTCGAAAGAATCAATTCAAGAAGTTTTCCAACTTTCTTTCCTTCGCTATACTTTGTTGCTTATTTTTATATTAAACTCGAAATTGTTACAAATAAAAGTACCCATTTCTCGCTTCAAAATTCTCAGTTGCAAATTAGTATTAAGCAAATTCGGGATGCACGAATTAGACAAGCTGTGTGAAGTCTTGTTTATAGATAATTGGACATCTATTCTCGTTAAACAAGGTAATTTGATGCCAGATTCGCACTTTGCGTTGTAATTATCGTTCTAATTATCGAGTAATTATCCACGAAGCATGGCACACCAATGCGATTTTTGCAAATCGTTTTGACGGAATAATTGTTCACAGACGAGTTCGATATTAATCATCAGGCCATCATCGTGTACTATTTCCACGCTGTTAACTTACTAATCTTTGATCAAATTTAATTGTTCGATCTGATCAAGACTGCACGCCATGAAATTACATCAAATTTTATATTATTTTTTTCTTTTTTTTTTTTCGTTTTATCGAATCTGGATACTCATATTTCGTTTGTCAAGGATGAAAACAAATTATAATTTTAATTATGATAATAAATTTTTATCTGATCATACATGCCTCTTCTAATCTTTCTCTCTATATTTATATTCGAGTTATAAGTTTTACATCTGGATGGAAATTATTTTTAAATAATTGCGAGTCGAATCTCTATCTTATTCTATCTTGGATAAAATATACAGAAAAATTTGAATAACTTTATGAAATAATTTATTTAAAACGTTGCTTCAACAGTACAGTTTCGCTGTACTTGTTCATGTTCAAAAAATAATTAATCCTTTGATACCAGATATCAATGGAAATAAACATATGATTAAATTTACGAATTATCCAATTTATACCATATACTTGCAACACACTGAATAATACCAAGTGTAATTAAATGAATTTGAGTGGAAAAAAGGGATAGAATATCCAGAGCAAGATCAAATATTTCCAGCACAAATATCCCCTTAAAAATTACATTAATTTTGACTCAAACGAATGATTGTAAGAGGTTGTTGATCGGTTATCGATATAAGGGTTGGAACTCTAAGGGTTGATCCTATTATCGAATAGATGGAGGATGTTACCTGCGTTTCCGTCAACGAGAGCGCCTGCGCCAGCTGCTTCCTCTCCGCGCCGACGACGTAGTGATTTTTCTCGAACGCGTGCTCCAGCTTCAGCAACTGACTGGGGCTGAAGGCCGTCCTTATTCTCTTCGGCTTCCTGAATGGCTGGAGGAGAAAGCCCGGTATGTCGGGCCCTGGAACACACAGAGGCGAGAAACACACATGAATTACTCAATGTCACTTCCTGGCTACGAGATGAAATTATTCCCGTGATTTATGCTACCACCACGCGCGCGCCAACGAAATTGGATCGAGTGGATCGCACACCGGTTTAAACCGTGTTCCAAATGTTCGTTTCGTTGATACTATTAATTTAATGATAACCGATAACCGTCGATTTATTTTTCCAATCGAATCGAAATCGTTTGTATCGAGAAATAAAATTTATTCACGTAAAATTCGTATTCACGAAATGTAAAAAACATTCTATCAACATCCCTAAATGGCGATTCATTCGTGTACAACATTCGATAAAAGAAAAAAGAAAGAACCAGCCGAAAGCTAGGGACGAAAAATTCACCAGACATCAACAGCGCCATCTCGAAAACCCCATAACTCGTTAGAGTTAGCGATTAATTTTCAAAGGACGTCATCGCCGCGCAGGAAATAAAAGGATATGTAGGGAGAAAAGTAAGAAAGAGAAGGAAGGAAAGAAGGGGGGAAAAAAGAGAAGGGAAGAAAGTAAAGAGAAACGAAACGAGCACGAACTGCACGAGCCGCTGGCTACCTAGAAGTCCGCTTCGGGTAATTGAGTATTCCACCTCGAAAGAGTCATGTCGATCGACCGATACCCACGTCTGCCGGAAGTCGGCCGGGATACTTTTGCCCGGAAACCTCGGGACGATAAATCGCTCGATTCTCTCTCTCTCTCTCTCTCTCGGGCTAGCGTTTATCCCGAACTACCTTCCGACCTCGATCGAATTCGATTTCATTCTTTTCCTTTTTTTTTTTTTTGCGAGCTCAGCCTCGAATCGGATTACGCAGCCGTGATTAATATTGTCGAAGATTATAATTTCGAGATTTAACTTTTAATTGGAATTTTTTCTCTCCTTCTCTGTCTCTTAATATTGCATACACGCGATTGGTGAGTAATTATTGAATTAAATGGAGAGTTCGGAGTTGTCATCTGTGACGGTTGGAGATTTTACCTTTAATTGGGATTTCATAAGAGGAAGAATTTTGGGATTGGATAATTTAATTAAATATGATTTAAATTATTTACTGGTGGTATTGTACGGCTCGATTGTAATCTCGAGATTGGAACTTTTAATTGATTTTGTTTCGAACTTTTTTCGTCACGGCAAATTCAACGAAGAAATTTGAAAATTGGATAATAATTATAATCTCGAGATTTTCTTGGATTCTCTACGTCAAATCGAATTGAATGAAAATTTGAAGGTTGGTTAATTCGATCAAACATTCGACGAATTGGAAGAGAATAAAGAAATACTTGTCATTTACCGACTATTAAAACAATTAATCCTCTTAAGTAAAATATACGAATAAATCAAAAAAATTTAATTCGAATCGTTCGAAAAATTTTAAATCGCAATTCTCTACAACTCGTCAAGAACGAACCAGAAAAAAAAAAAAAGAAAGAAAAAGAAAAAGCGCGCTATAATTTTCAACGCGATCGATCATCATCCTCGTATCGACTGACAATCATCCATTGGATCGTGGTCAGAGCATTGTTTACAGCCGGCCAAGGCAACGCGGGATCCATCCAAGGATACGCGTTTAAAAGCGGAGATCGCGGAGGAACGGTCGGCCGGGCACGTGGAAAACGCGTCTTATTTAAGCAAGCTTGTGCATACGTGATGCGGCCATTAAGCCGCCACTATCCGAGCGACCTTCTCGCTCGAGAGGCTCGCGAACGTGCGTGCGACTTAAAGACCCAGTTAACATTTCATGCATTCGCGTGGCGATGCGACTCCGCGATCGATCGATAGCCCGTGAACTGAATCTGCTTCGGCTTTTTGTATCCGGGGAACGCGATCGTGCACGCGTCGCCGATTAACCCACGATTCTTTCTCCTCTCTCTTCTTTTTCTCCTCTCTTCTTCCTTTCCCCCCGAAAGGAGCGGAGAGGAGAAGGAGAGAATTGGATTGGGACGAGAGAGATTTTCGGATGGAATTGCTTCGGGTTTCTTTAAATTTGTTTCTTCTTAGTTTTTTTTTTTTTAAAGAAGAAAGTTTGGATGAAATTTCTTGGATAAAATTTGTTTGTTCTTAGTTCTTCTTTCAAAAGAAGAAAGTTGAAATTTGCAAATGGATGGAATTGCTTCGAGTTTATTTAAATTTGTTTGCTCTCAGTCTTTTTTTCAAAAGTTAAAGTTTGGATGAAATTTGAAAATAGACGAAATTGCTTCTGGTTTCTTTAAATTTGTTTTTTCTCAGTCTTTTTTCAAAAGTTAGGATTTGTATGAAATTTTAAAATGGATGGAATTGCTTCTTTAAATTTGTTTGTTCTTAGTTTTTTTTTTTTTTTTCAAAAGAAGAAAGTTCGAATGAAATTTGTAAATGGAATTGCTTCAGGTTTTTTTCTAAATTATAATTTATTTTAAGCTCTTTTCTTCCAAAGTGGATGAAGAAAGTTGAGATCAGATAGATTTCTTTAAACTTTTTCCATTTTCAACTATTTGAGCAATGACTTTTAAGATCACACACGTGCAACAACGAAAAAAATATTATCGAATATTTCGTATCAATCTATTTACCGTATCCTATTGAAAGTTTATTTACGTATTTCATGTTGAATACGATTTTCATTTAGAAGAATATTTCTTCATCTCATCTTCATTACAACATATCGCAACAAAGTTGATGGAAATAGTTTCAAACTTATTCCTTTTCCTTTCTTTATATATATTTTAAACAATGATAAATTTCCTGAAAACAACGCATTTCGACAAAAATGGCACGAAGCAAAACGGTGCGTTCGATGTGCCATTTTTAAAATTTCAAGAATCGTAAAGGTATCGTAGATAAAAAGTGTAGCCACATTATACTTAAGATCGCTATCACTCGTTAATTATTCCAAACGTGTAAGAGGCGATACACATACACATACGCAAACACAACAATCGCGAAGGCCTGTTCGCATTAAATCGATCGATTCGAAATCAGGATAAAATCAGGATGTGTAATCTAATAACAATTATTATTCGACAACATCTATCGTCGCGGATCGATGAAAAGCTGCAGGCACGAACGAGTGGAAAGGTTAAATAACGTTTAGAGCTCAGTTTTCCAGAAACTGTGATGTCGAGATCCAGAGATGACGCGGACATTCGACGATCGAATTGGCCGATCGAAAAGGGCATTTAATAAAAGATTATTTAATTTATACGATTTACACCGATGAAGATGGATTAGATGCGTTTAATGATACGACAAAATCATCATTCGTTTCTCAAACGAAAACAATTTTGCGTTGGAAGAAATAATGAATTTCTTTCAATTAATAAAACATATATAATGGAAAAATTCAATCAACTCGGATACAAATTTTTCGATAATATGAATTATTGAAGCAAGTGTGGTTCAACTGTTAGTTGACTCTACTGCCATTATTATACTTTCTATTTGACGATGTTATAAGAAAATTGTGCTCTAACCACCCTGCAAAGCCGATTTTTATGATACATTTATGACGTAATTGGACAGAATTGTTAAAAGTACATTTTATCGTGGAATTCGATAACAAAGTGGAAAGTTCCAGATGCTCGTTCCAATCGTGTCTAGAGTCTACAGAAGATAAAAATTACTTTACAAACTGAAGAAGACTGAAAGAGAAGAAAAGGAAAATCTCTTTTTACAAATTTCTCCCTGGTTCCTTGTTCGAAAACGAATCAACGCAACGCAACTTATACTTGTTTCCCTCGCTAAATCCCACTCAAAGAAATCTAAGAATAGAAAATTAACGAAATTCCAAATCAGTCTAACTTTTCAACCCTTTGCACTCATAAATATTATAATTACATTCCAGAGACTCTTGTTACTTGATAACCTTCTTATTAAACGTAATAAAACGAGGAAAAGTAGAAAGGATTTCCTAGGCTCGTGGAATGTAGAAAAAACTTTCACTTTTCGAATTTTCGAGGCGCAACTACAACCAATTCCAAATTCAAAAATCCAACGAGAAAGAAACATCCCCCCCGTTTTCGCCTCCGACCGAGGCAAACGCGCAACGCGCGATATATCACGCACCTGCGACCACAACAAATCCTCCGTGAAACCAGGGGCCACGAGTTATCGGGTGTATCGCCGCATTTGCATCGTTGGCAACAATTAAAAACGCATTAGCGTCGAGGTCAACGTCTTGGACAGTTTTCAACTGTTCGGTATCGCTTGAACACTGTTCGTCTCGCTGGCTAGAAAATGGAGAGGAAAAGAGAGAGGAGGAGGGGGTAGTGAGAGAGGGCGAAGAGGAGGAATCAGGCGGGGTTATAATTTGATACGTTCGCGATTTGGTCTTATTTTTGAGTAATTTCGAGTCGCTCTGGGCGGCTCAGCTGCGCACAACTGCCTTAGCTTCTCGTAATTACAGGCCGTCTAGCCTCTCTTCGTCGGTTTTGCCCTCGTCCCTGTTCTTCCTCCTCCTCCTCCTCTTCTTTCCAGAGAAGAGAAGAAGAGAGGCAGGCCGTGGGCGACGTCTAGGAAGCGCCTAGAGACTCGCCAACGACGGAACACAACAGCAGGAGGAAAGGAGGAGGGAAGAGCAGGGAAGTTTCGAAGTTTTTGGTGGAAGGAATTTAATTTTGGCGAATTTCGATTATTAGGGGAGGAGAAATTGTTCAATCTCAATTGTTTTGAGAAATTTCACAAGACTAAACACTTTTTCGATCCTCCTGTGTTTCGACATCTCCTCGTAAATCTTTCTGAGAATGCTCCTCCGCTTTGCAGTTAAAAATTTCCAACTAAAAATCAATGGTGCATCGAAACGATATCACGAGATATCCACCACCACCACCCCCCCCCCCCGTAGCACAATCATAATCACAATAATAATAATAATAATATACAAAAGCAAAGGCGAAAAGAAAGAAAGTGATATTGGAGATATTTTCAAAAGAAAGAAAAAAAATCCTCCACGACGAATTAAATTTTCAATTCGATATTGTCACTTTTATAAT